AAAAGAAAAAGAAAGCCGGACCTGGCCAAGAAGAAAAGGCATTTGAAAAAGAAAACCGGACATGGCCAAGAGGGAAAGGCATTGGAAAAAGAAAAGAAAAAGAAAACCGGACTTGGACAAGAGGAAAAGGCATTTGAAAAAGAAAAGAAAAAGAGAACCGGGCTAGGCATTTGAAAAAGAAAAGAAAAAGAAAACCGGACTTGGCCAAGAGGAGAAGGCATTCGAAAAAGAAAACCGGACTTGGCCAAGACGAAAAGGCGTTTGAAAAAGAAAGCCGGACTTGGCCAAGAGGGACAGGCATTTGAAAAAGAAAACCGGACTTGGCCAAGAGGAAAAGGCATTTGAAAAAGGAAGCCGGGCTTGGGCAAGAGGCAAACGCAAAGCCATCCGAAAAAGAGCGCCGGACTTGGCCAAGAGGAAAAGGCATTTGAAAAAGAGAGCCGTACTCGGCGAAGAGGAGAAGGCATGTGAAAAAGAAAACCGGACTGGGCCAAGAGGAAAAGGCATTTGAAAAAGAAAGCCGGACTTGGCCAAGAGGAGAAGGCATTTGAAAAAGAAGGCCGGACTTGGCCAAGAGGAGGAGGCATTTGAAAAAGACAGCCGGACTTGGCCAAGAGGACAAGGCATTTGAAAAAGAAAACCGGACGTGGCCAAGAGGAAAAGGCATGCGAAAAAGAGCGCCGGACTTGGCCAAGAGAAAAAGGCACTTGAAAAAGAAAGCCGGACTTGGCCAAGAGGAAAAGGCATTTGAAAAAGAAAGCCGGACTTGGGCAAGAGGAGAAGGCATCTGAAAAAGACAACCGGACTTGGCCAAGAGGAGAGGGCATCTGAAAAAGAGCGCCGGACTTGGGCAAGAGGAAAAGCCATCCGAAAAAGAAAGCCGGACTTGGCCAAGAGGAAAAGGCATTGATTGGAAAAAGAAAGAGCACTCGGCTGAGAGGAAAAGACATTGGAAAAAGAAAGAGCACCCGGCTGGGCGGAAAAGACATCCGAAAAAGAAAAAGGACTGGGCCAATAGGCCACGACATTTGAAAAAGCGAAACGACTTGGCCAAAGGGAAAGACATTGACTTGATAAAGAAGAACGACTTGGCCAAGGGGGCAAGACATTGGAAAAAGAGAGAGGACCTGGCCAAGAGGCGAAGACATTTGAAAAAGGAAAAGGACTGGGCCAAGAGGCCAAAACATTTGAAAAAGAAAAACGACTGGGCCGCAAGGGAAAAGCAGACATTGGAAAAAGAAGAAGGACGTGGCCAAGAGGGCGAGGCGTCTGAAAGAGAAAAAGAGGACTTGGCCAAGAGGGAGAGACGCGGGAAATAAGGAGACGACACTCGCAAGAGAGGCCGGACTTTGGCAAGGGCTAAGACTCTTGCCAGGGCGATGCTTGCTCAGGGCTAAAAGGCTACCTCCAAATATGGAGAGGCTGGGAGACAGAGGGGAGGGGATATTTTTTGTCCAGGGCACACGCTGCGGGGGGGCGGTAGCGGTCTGTTGCGTGCGGGGTTGTGGCGCGGTGGGGCGTGTTTTACGTGAATGCTCCGCCGCATACGATAGCACTGCCAGTCCAAAAAACTAGCTACAGGCTACATTAACTAGCAACGTGGCTACAGATCGAGCGAATTAATTAACCGACTGTAGGCACTACCTGGCCCGCCAGCGAAGCGCGCGATAAGCGTGCCTGGTTAATAGCGTTGGGCACGTAATGTATGCTGTCGGTTTACTGCCATCTGTGTGGCAAGCGCATTCGCAAAGCCATTCCAAAAAAAAGCTGGGCGCTGCCGTGCATAGGCGCGGCTTATTTTGAGTAGAAGCACTCGCACACACACTGTCGCGCTCTAGATTATATTATCGATGGCTGGGCTGTTATTTATTACCAAAGAAGCAGCTGACGCACAGCCACAGTCGTAAGGGTAAGCCAGGTCGAGTTGCAAACTCCATAGAAATTTCTGAGCTCGCCGCATAGATCCTTCCCGAAGCTAGTACTTTTCGACCGATTGATCCGCAAAAAAATTGAAACGTTAGACGCAATGTAGGAGGGGCATCCACGCTCGTATGTTTTTTGTTGTGCAGTTGTCCCTCGAAATCTCGCAGAAGAGCAAGCTCAAGGATCCACGTCAGCAATTCCTTTCACGCGAGCGTCTACCAAGTCTGTTGTCCAGTTGTAGTTGCTGTAGATGGCGGCTTGTAGCGTACGAACTTCAGGCATGCAGACTCTTAATAATTTGGCAGCTCAGTGCTGCGCTCTACCTGCACTGCAGGACTTGTTATTTTTTGAGCCTCTGGATAGTCGACGTTCTTGATGCATCGAATTAATTCCACAGCGAGGAGCACGACAGTCCCGTGCGTTCTATTTTTTTCCTAGTCTTGCGCGCTTTATTTATTATCTTGATCAATGAATAAGAACTTGGATCTGCACTGCTGTTTTTTTTTTCAATTGCGCCCCAACTTGGGGTGCAACGTACGACGACGCAGTAGAAGTAAGTGCTTTGCTTTTTCACTTTGTGAAGCGACTGGCGCGTCCATGCATTCGTTCCGCTTTTAAAAATATGAAAATGGAGTCTATTACTATTGCGCGTTTTTTTAAAGTTTTACGCTTGTGATTTTATGTTGAGTAGTCGATCAGGTCTATTTGTAAGTGTCGCGCATGAAGACGCCAGATTTGCATGCGGTTGGATCCTATGTATCTACTGGCTATCCATGCTGAGGACGAGCGAACGACTAGGCGCTTGGTCCTCCGCACAGCCAGGAGCCCGAGCTGGTGTGCAGGCGACAGAGCCAAGGGCGCCAGGAAATCTACTGCGTGCGGACGAAGATTGATCCGTACTGTCAGGAGTAAGCCGCGCGCCCGCAGAGAGCGCGCCTGTGGTGGCACCCAGTAGGTACTAGGAAACAAAAAAGCGGCCCATGGATCATCCACAAACTGGGGCAGCTGCCGCTCCTCGGCGTTGAGGTATCAATCGGGCGCGCATGCCGTTGCTGTGAGGAGCTGCCCATCTGACAGGAGCGCGCGGCTGCCACTCCGCTCTCCTTTTCGTTAGGCATCAAATTAGGGTGGAAAGTAGATAGCTCGGGCTTCTCGATTTTGTTTTCAGTCATGATTTTGTTGGCACTCATCTTCTGTATCGGCGGCTAGCCGC